CTCCCCCCCCTCCCCGTCTCTCTTTCACCACTCAATCACTTCCGCGTTCGTTGTTCATCTCACGTGGGGCCCTTGGCGGAGACGATGAGGAGGATCACGTCGTCTTTGCTCTTACCGAGCTTCTCCGAGATTAGCTCCACGGCCTCCACGAAGGTGTCGAAGTTGATTTTCTTCGCGGTCTTGTCCTGTCAGGCGGTAACATTCGACGCCCCGTGCGGGTTGGGGTCATGGCCGTAGTCTACCTCTCGTAGAGTTGGAAATCAACGCTTCTTATGAGAGCGTTTAGGAGGACATTTATCTCCGTCAGATAAACTAAGAAAAGAAGGTTGTCTTGAACTCCCCCAGCCAGTCCGCATGGATCAGAAGACCAGCGACACTTCTTCCAGTGCGAGCGTAAAGTGAGCATGGGAGAGAACCAAAGGTCGCAAGCCTCGCGAGGCAGGCTCGAAAGGTTCCTGCCTCTGAACGTTCATTGTCCATGTCTGCAAGGGGATTGACGAAGCTCTACCCGGCAACTGACGCGGTACACACTCTATCTTCAAGCCGAGTACGGCAGTTAATGAAGAGGCATCTGCTTTGGGCAGCAACATTGTAGCGGCAACATGACCGTCCGCTGCGTAGATTCGTCACATCGCCGTTGCCCGAGGTTTTATACCACCACCGGTGTCACATGCTCGAACTCTGAAACCCAGAATCGCTGGAGGTTTTGGAAGGCAGAGGCAGCTTCTCATCGGCAATCCTGGCTCTGGACACTCATAGGGACTTGGTCGAAGGTGGTGGTCTCCGTGTCGCAGTACGATTTCTCGGAACATTCCTTGGGCATCTCATTCAGCCCTATCTGCTACCCTCTCTTGCACCGCGGCCTCGGGCGTGTATTAGCCCCCCTGAATAAAACAAGGATCAGGGAACTCGGAACTCGGAACTGTTCTCTAATTGGTGGCCCTTCAAACACAATACAACAACGTTCCTGAAATATGGACCCCCCAGGGCCCAGGATTCGTTCTCTTGGGTGATTCCACCTTGGTGATTGTTAATTGCAATGATGGCTTTGGTTGGGGGTTCTTCTTCACTCTATGTCCACGGACTCATTCTGACAGCACTTCAGACAGCAGCTGCATGCCCCGAGCTTGTGTACCATGCACCATGGTGTTATTATTGTACAAACAGCACTTCAGACAGCAGTACGCTGTAGTCGACAAACATTCATTTCGGTTAAATGCGGGACAAGGGGGGTGATGCTGCTGCTGTAATGGAGATTTACGTTCGTGGGCAGTCCATGGCAATGACCAGAGTACCGGGAACAACGGCAAACACGGTGATCTCTGACCGTGCGTGTACACAAAGACAACCCTGTGTTGCTTATCTCGTTGGATGGTGTTCAAGTCGGTAACCACACGAGCAGAACTTAATCTGCCTCCTGCTGGCGAAGAGGATCGCCGCCGTACACAGCAAGCAAAGCGGAGATGAAGCAGGAGCTAGCGTGTAACTAGATCATGCCAAGCAACCAAGAAGCTCCGGCGATGATACGTCCACTGTGGCAAGGAGCAGCCCCTCGACAAAGTCGCGACGTATGCATTCCGTTCTTGAACGGGCGAGATCAAGTGATTATTCTTTCTTTTCCGTCCCCGTTGTTGAACACGGAAGGCGCCCGAGTTGATTGGACTAATAGAAGTACGTATTTTAGGAGGTACTACTGTAGGCAGAGACCGGCACGGTTTTGCAAGTGAACACAACAACACCAACACCACCACCAACACCAAGACCAACATCAACAACTGTCTTGAGCAGTTTATGGTGTTCTCCACTCCTTCTAAAGAAATACCCGTGACGAGTACAGGAAGGAATGCATAATGTCTCTGTACATTGTACCGGTACGAGCTTTCACCCGCGAACCACTGACTATTCTGCTCCTGTTGCCAGATTATCCGACAAATATCTATCCGTGGCACAATGCCAACGCACGCAAACACATTCAGCTTCTCTCCCACCTTGACTTTTGTGAAGATTAGGTCTAAGTCAGTCGTGGACAGGTTCTTGCCCACCAATTTGCAATCCTGCCGAAGAGGCACACATGGCACGAGCATTTCTTTCTTAGACTAGCCGATGATGATATGGTTGGTTGTAGACTACAAGTCTACACGAGTAGGAGTGCCAAAACCATATCGTACCACTGCTTGCGTGTATGTACGCTGCTCTTTATCTAGAGTACATACTTGAACTCCTGGGCAAACTTGAGGCATCCGCCGTGAATCATCACTATGTGATGGCCGTGAGTCGTTTTCCTCTCTCTCCCTATCTCGCTCCCTTGCCCTCTTTACTCTTCGAAGCTGAACCCTAATGGTCTATTCGTACACCGGCACCACTCGTACGCATCCTGTTTGGTCCACGACCGATACTTTGCAGCAGCTGTGTATAAAATGTTTCTCTGCCGCTCTCAGCGGCCCATGTTTTTGCTCGCTGTAGAAAACAGCCCCTCTTGTTTATTGTACTGTAGGCTGTATTTTTTACTGCTGCCCGCAAATTCCTCCGGACCGCCAGCGGGTGTACCTTCGCGAGCTTGACGAACTTAGCGGAGTCCATCTCGGACGAGCCCGACTGGCCCGCCCCGAAGGACGTGAAGTCGAGGAAGATTTGCTCGAGGGCATCCATGATGTCTGTCTTCGATACGTAACCGAACTTCCCTTTGCCGCTGCTGAGGTCGTCACGGACGCGGACACTGCTACTGCTCGTATGTGCCTCAGTCAGGGCCCGCGCGCGGCATGATTATCCCTGCACATGATTTTCGCCGAAGCGGCACAAACCCGGGTCAGGGTGACGGTTCGGCATATTTTTGCGGCGGGATACACAGGTTTGCTGCTCCGGTCCTCCGGTCCTCAATAGATCTTCGGTGAGTGCCCTTTTTAACTACAGCACCAAAGCAAGAATGACAACATGAGGAGCACCCGAGAAAAGTCTCGCTGTTCATGGGACAATTGGGTCGAGATATCGGTAGGCTTGCACAGCCATTGCGGTGCACTGCTGTGTTGTTGCGGGGTGTGGATGCCCTTGGTTCTCAATACATGCACACGGCGTTCGACCACAGCAGTACACATGTACGCATACCGAAGTACCTGTAAGAGCAGTCTGCTTCATGATCCAGTCGTAGTGGGGTGACACGATCACGGAGGAACGAGTTATGGCAGGGTCGCCCTTGTAGAAAACACATCAGTATGGTGAGGGCGAGTCGCGCACATCCCTAGAACGGAAGAACAGAGACGCGAGTGGAAAAAAAAAAAACTTGAAAAATCTCACATGTGTATGTTCCAACTTCCACCAACCTGACCCAACCAAGGCTGTAAGGGCCCAAACGACGGCAGCCATGCTACGGTCTTGGTCACGGACTGAAGGCAGTCATGTCTCTTCGCTCTTTCGAAGAACGGCAAATCCCGCAAAAGAACACGACGCTGTCGCAGATAGTATGGCAAACAGTCACGTACACCGCGAGAACTCTCCACACCCGTGTGCTTAGACTACCCAATACAGAGCTCCGTCAGGAGCAAATGACGTCTCAGCTGCGTGGTGACCTTCTGTTTTCGTCGGCGGTGATATTTTTTTGTAGTTTAGCCTATATCAAGGTCCGGCAACGGTTGTAAGGAGCAGACGCCCCACACGACGAAAGAGCCGAAGCCAATACAGTAGCGGCTACGGTTTAAGAGAACTTAATCAAGAGAAAGTACGAAAGTACGGATTTAAGAGAGAGGAATTGGCTTGTACCAATCAAAATCGATTTAAGAGAAATTTCCTATTGCAGCTGGGATTTTTCTCTTAAATCGAACAATATGGAAACCACGTGGACACACACACATATCACACGCCCACACAGCTGCAGACACCATGCCCTGCGCGGCGGGCAGTCGCTGCACGGCTGTCCCCGATCACACGCCAGGCCCGCCGGCGTTCACAAATCACCAATGTAGAGGAGTCTGCGGGCAGTACCTCCATGGCACCTGTGGTGTGGTGGACCCTCAGGGCACCTCCGAGATGCATCGCATCTGCCACAACTGCCTGTCCTCCCGTTGGTTTCTTGGGTTTGTGTTATTTGTACGGCGAGTCATGTTTTGATATTGTGAAGCTCTTTTTTTTTCGTTGACTTGTGTTTTTGTCGGGGGTTTAAATCGATGGGATGAGAGGTATGAGGGTGTTATGTTGAGGGTACGGTGGGAGGAAGGGGTGCATTGTGTAAACGGGTGCGTCGTTCTTGAGTGCTGGTGCATTCGTTGCCTCGTGTTGTCCTTCTAGAAGAGGTGCGACTATGAAACACAGCTATAAAACAACTCAACCAAAAACCTTTTACGTGTCCACGTGCAAAATGTGCATCGCATCACACAACGATGATTTATTTTCCGAACGCAGATCCACCAAAAGCGTACCACGTACAGCAGTACTTGGGTCCACGTGCTTGCCAACCAAGAGAATGAGCGGTGTTTGGAGGTAGCCCGACGTGGTAACGCTAGCTGCGCAAGTGACATGCATGATACGCTCTCTTCATGACCTATTTTGGCATTCGAGTGTAGTCAGTGCGCGAGAGTCCCTGTTTCACGACCTTTAGTTTTGTCTACGATATAAGAGAATATTCTCTTATAGTGAGAAACTGTTTAAGAGAATTCTCTCTTATACCGTAGCCAACACGATACAACAGAAAGCCGGATTTAAGAGAGTGAAATTGGCTTGTACCGACCCTCTCTTAAACCGTAGCCGCTACTGTATCCAAGTTGGCTTACCCAAGGCTGGTGTTGCACCAACAGCAGTAGCTGCCGCAGCTCTTAGGTACAGAAGCATTTGGATGCTCCCGCAGCGAATGCGCACAACGAAGCAGCATGCGCAGGGGGTGCATGGCAATCCGCCGTCGTGAAAAAAGTATCGTGTGAGCCGGATCCCGACCATATATGAATAGAGAACAGATCCCTTAACACACGCATAGACTCGTGGGTTGGCTTGTTTCAGAAAAAAAAATATTGTGTCCGTTCCTGCTCGCCACCCTTCTCTTCTAATTCGGCTCAAGCTTCAATGTTGCCCCCCCCCCCCCCCCCCCCCCCCCCCCCCCCCCCCCCCCCCCCNTTACGCCCGCCCTCTCAACTTTCTCGTCTGGCCTGAGGCATCCACCTTCCCATCTTCTTCGCAGCTATCACCCACCCACCCTTGCGCCCGCCCTCCAACCTTTCTCGTCTGGCCTGAGGCATTCACTTTCCACCCTTTTCGCAGCAATCACTCACCATGGCACCCGCCCTCCTAGACGTTCTCTTCCGGCCTGAGGCACCCATCCGTCTGCCTACCCTTGCGCCCGCCCTCTCAACTTTCTCGTCTGGCCTGAGGCATCCACTTGCTGTAGTAATCATCTATCTAACTCGCCCGCCCCCCCGGCTCTCTTGCAGGCCTGATGCATCCAATTCTCGCTCGCTTGCCTACTAAAGTGGTACAACAGTGGCGTAAAGAAAACTCGACACCCTCCCACCGGTTTGCGTATGGGCGCTAGCCTCAAGCTTTGTCGTTCCCCCTCCCAACTAGCCCTTGGTGTCTCTTCCTTTCGCCCGCTTTCCTTGTCTGGCTCAGGCAACTTTCAATGTCATACAACACCCACACACATGAATAAACGAACCCTTGCAACAGATACATCTCTCTCTTGTGGTCGTGCAAGTGTTGTTGCCTTGTTGCGATCAAACAAACTCCCCTTTTGCAGCATGAACAACACACAAGCCACAGGGTGGAGGGTGGCGAGGGGGGGCGCTAAACATCGGTGCACATCGCCTTCCCTCGTGTACGGCTGGAGTTGCAGTGGACAACACGCAAGGGCACGCCGTCTACCGATCCCTGCTATCACGAACATTCCCCATACAAAACAAAACAGCCAAGAGGAACCAACACAACAACCACTGGCATTGTTTTCGTGCCAAAAATAAAACTTGTCGTGGCCGCCCCCATTCCTTCTCATCTGGCTCTGACCTGACCTCGCGGTAATAAAGAAAAACAAAGAAACAATCACGACGAATACAGCGGCCTTAAAGCACAAGTCCAAACGGGAGGGACAAACTGCTTTCTCAAAAAAAGGCAGCCGTAAACCACACCCTGTTTTCAGGACAACGTCGAGCAGCCCGAACCGCTTCCAAATTAAGTTGCAAAAATCGCGACAAATGGAAACAACAGAATTGTTTTGTCTGACGTGTGAGGTAGTGTGCCCCATTCCTCTCCGGTTTGCTCGTCGGGTACAAGCCTGGGTAGATGAAAAAAACACAAGCCAGCGACAACACACACCAAGTACAAGGAACACGTCGACAGACGAATGATGAATAAAAAAATGCGTGAGATATATGCCCACGCCACTGCTTTTTTCGTGAAGCTATAAGGCTGGTTCCGCTTAGCCACTGCTCTCTCTTTCTACAGTATGCATATACCCCTTGTCTGTTCTGTCCTTTATACGAGCGAGGACACAGACAGATGATGGGAGACGACAAGCAAGTTCGACGCATCCTGATCGGCAAGGTGCATCGAACGCTAACGGAGAGAACAATCGGAATACACACACACCGCTTACCACCCCCCATACCACGCCGTAGGTCCGGCAGCGCACGGGATTCTGCAACTAGTTGTGAACGAACAAGCTTACACCAACCACCAGAGTGAAGACGAAAATGAAATTCCGCGGCGATAAGCCAAACAGATGTTCCGCCGCCGCCACCAAGCCCCCCCCCTCGCGGCAAAGTTAAATAGCAAGCGCCAACACGCTGTCGCAATGGAAGTACCACATGCTCTTCTCTTCGGGCACGACAACGACAACGGCGTACAAGGAGATACCCTGCGTGACATAAGATACCACACACCCCCGGACTGATTTCCAAAGCGCGACTACTCCACGACCAAGAGGATGCCACAATCAAAACGATTTATTCTCGGTAGAGATCTCGGCTAGACAGCTCCAACGCCGCTATTTTCCGCCACCACCGCTATTTTCCCTGCCAAGAAAATCAGTTTTAAAAATTGGTCCGGGGTGTGCGGTATCTTGTGCAACGTGTGGTACTGCTGGCACAAACACCCCATGATAACAACTACGAAACTAATCCACGACCGGCGTATTTATACAGCGACGACAAAAAAAAATGTCGTAATCCAACGCCACGGGCGGGCACGTGCAAACCTGATACATTCTTGGAAAGCACTTAGCTCCGTTCATCTTCGTCGTCGTCGTTACGAACACCGGCTCATGGTAAGGGGAGAAGGATTTTGCTTCCATTCCTCCGAAACCTTCTGCTTGTTCAACTCAGTCCCTCCAAAATGTGACGGCAAGGGTAACCGTACTTCCCCCGTACGGACGTACCCGACACGCGTAAAAAAATGAGCAA